CGGTGTGTCAAAATGAGACCTCTGAAGTTATTGGCTCAGCTGCTGAGGAGCCACGGAATATTTACAGACATTCCAACTTAAATAGCCCTCGGCACACAAAGCTGTGGGGCTGAGTGCTGCTGGCAGACACAAGGGAGCAAACCGTGTCAGCCGTGAGTCATGTGCGCATTTAGGGATGCGACTGACGTACAACGAGTCGTCGGAAGCTTTTGTGCGAACAGAGAAATTGGACGGAAAAGCTACCATGCAAAAAGGCACCGCATCATCACCTCTGCAGACACTTGCGATTTGCTTTTTTAAAAAAAATGCCAGATTCTACTTGTTGAAGATATTGTTATAAGAAAAAACTTCTCCTTTATTCCTTATGGGGTATCCAAGAGCCTGTATAGAGTCCTTAAGTAGGTTCTCTATTGGTAGGAGAAAATAACAGAGGCCAACCAGAGAATATTGAGAAGCAAAGCAGCTAGTGAGCCTGATCTTTATTAAACTGTTGCAACAGGGTGTCCACTCACCCCACGCAGGAGGGAGGAGGAATCCAGAACATTGGTGTGCAAGCTCTTATATAGACTTTTGAAACTGCCTACCCTGTAGCTCAAGACCACCCCACAATACATCACACATACATCACACAAAGAGGTGGTCCCCAGCAGATACTGGAGTGTGTTGCTTCTCTCCGACTGCCAGGATACCTGATCATGCCTTATCAATTGCCTTTTCTGGGTAGCCTGGCCATTCCTTGGAGATGGTAAATACTTAGTTCCTGAATCTATACTGAGAGTGTACTCAGCTTAACAGATACTTGCCAGACAATTTCTACTCAAATGCGATTTTGGTTTTAAACACAGTGTAAGGAATCTCTACGGGAGTATATTGTATTTAAAAATGGGGTATCAGAGTTTTTAGGGGGCTAACCAAGTTGGGATAGCTGGGATAGCAGCTCAGAATCCTTAGTCCAGACCAGGGGTCAGCAAACTTTTTCAGCAGGGGGCCGGTCCACTGTCCCTCAGACCTTGTGGGGGGCTGGACTATATTTTTGGGGGGGGGGATGAACGCATTCCTGTACCCCACAATAACCCAGAGATGCATTTTAAATAAAAGCACACATTCTACCAATGTCAAAACACGCTGATTCCCGGACCGTCTGCTGGCCAGATTTAGAAGGAGATTGGGCCGGATCCGGCCCCTGGGCCTTAGTTTGTCTACCCATGGTCTTGGTGGTGCGGCGCGTCAGGGCACCGGCTTCTCAGGGGCACCCTAGCGAGAGGGGGAGCTGCGCGGCTTTGCGGGCAGCCTCCCCTTTCCCTGCCACCCGCGCCCCGCCAACTATATGGCTGGTGGGCATACAGCTTCCTTCCCAAGCCTCCGCAGGAGGAGAGCAATCCCCACAGAGGCTTAGGATGGACGCTGCATCCCTCCCAAGCCTCTACATCTGCTAAAGATGGCCCTGATCCTGGTCGTTGTCCTCCTCCTGCTTTCTGGCAAAAGGCAGCGCGCAGCTTCCCCAGGCTGCCTTCTTGGGCGCCCCGACGCAGGAGAGAATGTTCGACAGCACGTTTTCCTGCTTGATCGTCGCCACCATGCTGGGGATCAGGGCGGTGGGGGAGGCAGAGGACATTTTCCACCGCCCCCTCCCTTGTTTTGGAGTTGCCAGGGGGGCGCCAGAGGGATCTTTGCACCACGGCGCCGTACATGCTTAAGACGGACCTGGTTCTTTTCAGGCAGAGAAATCCATGCAACGTCCAAATTTTGCAACGCAGCCTTCCACAACCAACCCCACGCTCCCTGCATGTTTTATTGAAAAGGGGGCACAGGCGTGAAAAAAACACATGTAGAATATATTAGGAGGAATTGATTGCAAAAATGCAAATATCAAGAGAGCATCTGGACGTTCGTTGCAAACCGAGGGAACTGAAGCCTGGGGAAATGAGAAATGAGAGATGACTTGACATCTTTCCGCAGGGCCTGCAAGACAGAGCTGTTCCACCAGGCCTTTGGCCAGGGCACAGTCTGACTCCCTCCCTCAGCAATCTTCGCGGAGCTCTGGCTCAATGGTTGCCAGTGGCTTGAATTAATTAATTTTATAATGAATGATTTTAGAGTGTTGTTTGTGCTGTACTTTTGTACTGTTTTATTGTTGTTAGCCGCCGTGAGCCTGGCTTCGGCTGGGGAGGGCGGGATATAAATAAAATTTATTATTATTATTATTATTATTATTATTATTATTAATGGAGAGCAACTTGAGAGGGCAGATGCATTCGTCCCTAGTGGGGAACAACGGCACATCTCCCTTAAGAACCGACTTCTTTCCACTAACATATGCACCAGATTGGTTGGACAGTGTTCTCGAAGCTACCAGCATGAGTTTGACCAAACTGCGGGAGGCAGTGGAAGACAGGAGGGCCTGGCGTGCTCTGGTCCAGGGGGTCACCAAGAGTCGGACACGACTAAACGACTAAACAATGCACCAGATGCTTGCAAAATAGGAGCCAACTCCTAGGGACCGTGGGGGTTTCAGCACTAATAATAATAATTTATACTTCTCCCATCTGGCTGGGTTTCCCCAGCCACTCTGGGCGGCTCCCAACAGAATATTAAAAACATGATAAAACATCAAACATTAAAAGCTTCCCTAAACGGGGCTCCCTTCAGATGTCTTCTAAAAGTCAGATAGTTGTTTCTTTCCTTGACATCTGCTGGCCACATGACCCAAAAGCTGTACGCCGGCTCCCTCGGCCTGTAAAGCGAGATGAGCACTGCAACCCCAGAGTCGGCCACAACTGGACCTAATGGTCAGGGGTCCCTAAACCCTTTACCTTTAATAACACTAGTAAAAGTAAAGTTAAAGGGACCCCTGACAAGTCCAGTCGTGAACGACTCTGGGGTTGCGGCGCTCATCTCACTTTATTGGCCGAGGGAGCCAGCGTTTGTCCGCCTGCAGTTTTTCCAGGTCATGTGGCCAGCAGGACTAAGCCGCTTCTGGTGAAACCAAAGCAGCGCACGGAAATGCCGTAAGTTGACAATAGGTCGCACGGAGGGGAAGCTGGGAAGTCTGGTGATTCAGGGAAATCTCTAAATGTGGAGGTGCATTTTGTATTTTTGCAATCTACACTTGTAAAATCAAATAAAAATTATTTCCAAAAAGAGAGAGAGAGAGTGAGTTGTCTCTCTCAGGAAAGAATCAGGAAACCTGCCCGTATCTTTGCGGAGGAAAATCATTTCCAGGAAAGTTGTGTTTGTGTGAGAGCCTTAATGGATAAGCAGGCCTTAACGCCAAATGGAACGGCTTGCACGCCAACGGCTCCGGGTTCAAGGGAGGAAGGGACATACGTCTCTGAGAGGTGGTGGAAGCTTGCCAAAGTGTTTGTCCTCGCAAGCCGGCAAGGACGACTGCATCCCAGGACGAGGAGGAAAGGGGCATAGCTTTCTCTGGTTCCGTTCCTTCCTGAGCCATCCCAGACAGCAAGTTAAAAAAAGGGATTTCAAGGTAAATGGGAAGCCAACTGCCGCTGGAGGTCCCAGGAGAGCCATCGAGAGGAGAGGTTGTTACTCTGCGCAGGTGGCGCGAGCTCCGAAGAGTCACCCTGGGAGGAGATACCCAGCCTTTAATTATTGCAATTAAATCGTTAATGGCTTTTCGAAAGAGCGGCCCAGGCAGAAATAATTCCTGTCTTGGACCGCTGGGAGAAACTTCATTTCACCCAGCGCGGGAAGGAGTCTCTGGGCACAGCGCACTCGCGGCGGGTTGAGAGGCACATGCGTGTGCGTGCGCAAGAGTGGAGTTATGTGTGTCTGCAGCGTCAAACCATGGCAGAATGGCCGCAGCTAAACAGCAGGTATTGGCTCCAGACTTTTTGGGACCTGGAGAGAAGGAGGAATGAATCTGTCAGTCCTGTTTTCTCTCTGTTTCGCTCTCTTCCCCAATCGCAGATTCTGTTCTCCACCTTTTCCACATCCCTTTGCAATGACAGTCGTACCTTGGAAGTCGAACGGAATCCGTTCCGGAAATCCGTTCGACTTCCAAATCGTGGCTTCCGATTGGCTGCAGTCCTGGTCCGACTGCACTGGCTACCAATTAATTTCCGGGCCCGATTCAAAGTGCTGGTTTTGACTTATAAAGCTTTAAATGGCTCAGGACCGCAATACCTCAAGGACCGCCTCTTCCCATATGAACCTACCCAGACCCTGAGATCATCTTCCGAGGCCCTTCTTCGTGTGCCTCCTCCTCGAGAGGTGCGGAGGGTGGCAACACGAGAACGGGGCCTTCTCTGCAGTGGCTCCCCATCTGTGGAATGCTCTCCCCAGGGAAGTTCGCCTGGAGCCTTCATTATACACCTTTAGGCAACAGGCAAAAACGTTCCTTTTTAATTAGGCCTTTGGTTGACCTGATCCACATCCCGTACCCTTTTAAAATGTGGCTATTTTGGGGGGTGGGTGCTATTGGGTTATTGTTCTTATTTTGATTTTATATATTGTGATCTTTTTTGTGAGCCGCCCTAAGACTTCTGGGTATAGGGCGGTATATAAATTCAACAAACAAACAAACAAACAAACAAACAAACTGTAGCTGTCTGTGTCTCCTAAAAACTCTCTGCACCTTTAACACACTACAGTTCTTCGGGGTTATTCAGTGGAACCCATGACTGCTAGTGTTAAGTTGTGGGTGAACATATCCGACAACACAGCGATTCTTCAAACAGCTCTTGTTTATTCACAGGCCAGAACAGAACTGAACTGGAAGGTTCAGTCAGCCTGCTTATATAGAGCTCCAGTACAACGTAACTGCAACAACTTTCTGTAACTATCCAATCACTGAACGTCACTTTCGATCCCTTATTTGCATATGTGGACCTGAACTATCTGCTGGCCCAGGCTGAGAACTTCAGTACATAACAGCTAAATGCATGGGGCTGCCTCCAGTGTAAATCCTACACAGAGTAGCCTCATAGAATCATCGAGTTGGAAGGGGCCACAAGGGGTCATTCATCCCAACCCCCTATTTTTGCCCAACTCGGATCTCGAACCCGCAACCCTTGAGATTAAGTCTCATGCTCTACCAACTGAGCTATTGAAATTGATAGGCACAGCTAACTTAGATGTGTCGGTTTCTCCCAGCCTACTCTGAGTAGGGCTTGGCTGAATGCAGGCCATGGTATGCGTGTTGCAGATAAGGAGAGAGAGGTGTGAAATCTGCAAGACCAAAGCTGAATGCCCTGGTCTACTCAGAGTAGACCTATTGCAACTGATAGACATGACTAACTTGGGCCCATGAATTTCTGTGGGTCTCCTCAAAAGCAGAACTTAGCTGGACGCAACCCAATATTCTAGATGTTGCCCTGTCACCCGGTGACAAACAACAGCAACAAAGCAACAAATGGTTTTGGATAGAAATTGTAGTTAATATTGTTTTCCCAAAGCCTCCATCTAACGAACCGTCATTTAACGCCATTGCTTCGCAAGCAATCCCTCACAGCGGAAGCTCCTCAGGGACCCCTATCCATTCCTCCTAATAAGGAATCTGAGTCGGGCTTCCCACACACAGACAGCCCTACATTAGATTTAATGTGTTGTCAAACACGCACGAAATTAAGCTTTCATCCGAAAATATCCCAGTTCTGCAAAACTGCAGCCACCGGTGGTGGCGGCGGGGGGAACACGCCGCTCAAGAAGTCGGTTTCGTGAGGCAAGGTGGCTTATTCGAGAAAGGGGCAGGTAGAACAGGCAGAAAGAAATATGTATTGCGTTGGGGGAAATTGCTTGCAAAAAAATGTGTCGGTCTGCCAAAAGTACCTGCAGAAATGTGTTTGTTGGGAGAAATCCGCACTAAACTGCTGGTGAGTTTTCATGAATAAGAATAAATTATTGCAGAAATGTGCAGACTGTCTCGACAGAGTGGTGCATGCTCTGGTTGTCTCCTGCTTGGACTACTGCAATGCGCTCTACGTGGGGCTACCTTTGAAGGTGACCCAGAAACTACAACTAATCCAGAATGCGGCAGCTAGACTGGTGACTGGGAGCGGCTGCCGAGACCACATAACACCGGTCTTGAAAGACCTACATTGGCTCCCAGGACGTTTCCAAGCACAATTCAAAGTGTTGGTGCAGACCTTTAAAGCCCTAAACGGCCTCGGCCCAGGATACCAGCATCTCCACCCCCATCGTTCAGCCCGGTCACTGAGGTCCAGCTCCGAGGGCCTTCTGGTGGTTCCTTCACTGCAAGAAGTGAAGTTACAGGGAACCAGGCAGAGGGCCTTCTTGGTGGTGGCCCCAGCCCTGTGGAACACCCTCCCATCAGATGTCAAGGAAACAAACATCTATCTGACTTGTAGAAGACATCTGAAGGCAGCCCTGTTTAGGGAAGTTTTTTAATGTTTGATGTTTGGTCACATTATTTATGATGATGATGATGATGATGATGATGATGATGATGTTGGGAGGCACCCAGAGTGGCTGGGGAAACCCAGCCAGATGTGCAGGGTATAAATAATAATATTAACAGGCTGAGAGTTGTGCAACAGTAACGGTAAGGTGTGCCACTTTAGCTGTGAGTCCTGCATCTCTGGGGGGGTTGGACTAGATGACATCTGGGGTCCCCTTCCACCTCTACAACTCGGTGATTCTATTACCTTCCACCAGAAACCCCATTATTCTTCTGCTGCTATTGTCCCTGTTATACCCAATTGCAGATTCAAATGTATCCCTATCGTGTTGTATGATTTCCCTGATATTGCATGTGAGCTGGAGCTGGTCTGTGACTGAAATTAATAAATTCACATTACTCTTCTTGCCGCCTGCTGTGCCAACGTTTTGTAACTTACGTAATTTTTAAAGCAGATTGTGTAAATTACGGCCCCCTTACGTTATCCCAACGCCCTCGTTTCAATGCAAATAAATGCAGGGAGAGAACCTAATCAATTAGACACCGTTTGTGGACTGAAATCGACGAAAACAGTGAATATGGCTCATATTTGCTGGATTGATTTTCATTTCAGACATGGACCAAATAAGTGAACGGCAGAGATTTGTGCTGGAATTCTCTAAAATCCTTAAACACAACCTTCCTTACTCCTGCGAAGCTCCTGTGTGTGTGTAGGACAGACGACCCATTTTGATGTTCTCATAACTACTCCTTTCCCGCTGAATTATTTTACCAGTTTTATTTATAGCCTGTTCCTTCGTCATTCAGTATTTATTTTATTTTATTTTGGGATATGCATGCATGTTAAACAGCTCCTTTGTCTATTCAATTTCTCTCCTTTTCCTATAGTACAATAATAGATTAAGAAGGGAAAGAAATTAAGGTTTCCTGCTCAGGCGTAGGTGTTCCTTAATGACCGCTAATCACCAACGAGGCTGATATAGAGGAGACATTTGCATTGTGGGGACCCGAAGGAGCAGATGAGATGTGGGGACAAGGAATTGCCTTATAATTGGACTCAAAATCGTTCCATCTAAGGCCCCATCTGCATTATAGATTTAAAGCAGTGTTCTTACTTTATTATGTAAAGGTAAAGGGACCCCTGACCATTAGGTCCAGTCGTGGCCGACTCTGGGGTTGCGGCGCTCATCTCACTTTATTGGCCGAGGGAGCCTGCGTACAGCTTCCGGGTCATGTGGCCAGCAGGACTAAGCCACTTCTGGCGAACCAGAGCAGCGCATGGAAACGCCGTTTACCTTCCCGTCAGAGCGGTACCTATTTATCTACTTGCACTTTGACGTGCTTTCGAACTGCTAGGTTGGCAGGAGCTGGGACCGAGCAACGGGAGCTCACCCCATCGTGGGGATTCGAACCGCCGACCTTCTGAACGGCAAGTCCTAGGCTCTGTGGTTTAACCCACAGCGCCACCTGCGTCCCTATTACTTTATTATCATCTATTAAATTTGTAGACCGCCCTATACCCGCAGGTCTCCCGGCGTTTACAGCATAAAAGCACAATGTAAAAAGACAAAATACATCATATCGCTTCAACCAGTCATGGTGTTTCCCCAAAGAATTCTGGGAACTGATGGCTGAGAGTAGTTAATGGTATTGCTACCCCCCTCCCAGAACTACAATTCCCAGAGTTCCCTGGGAAGAAGGAGAATGGGCGTCTCTTAAAGAACCTCTTAATGAGAGTGAAAGAGGAGAGCGCAAAACATGGTCTGAAGCTCAACATCCAAAAAACTAAGATCATGGCCACTGGGCCCATCACCTCCTGGCAAATAGAAGGGGAAGAAATGAAGGCAGTGAGAGATTTTACTTTCTTGGGCTCCATGATCACTGCAGATGGTGACAGCAGCCACAAAATTAAAAGACGCCTGCTTCTTGGGAGAAAAGCTATGACTAACCTAGACAGCATCTTAAAAAGCAGAGACATCACCTTGCCAACAAAGGTCCGTATAGTTAAAGCTATGGTTATCCCAGTAGTGATGTATGGAAGTGAGAGCTGGACCATAAAGAAGGTTGATGGCCGAAGAATGGATGCTTTTGAATTCTGGTGCTGGAGGAGACTCTTGAGAGTCCCATGGACTGCAAGAAGATCAAACCTCTCCATTCGGAAGGAAATCAGTCCTGAGTGCTCACTGGAAGGACAGATCCTGAAGCTGAGGCTCCAAGACTTTGGCCACCTCATGAGAAGAGAAGACTCTCTGGAAAAGACCCTGGTGTTGGGAAAGATGGAGGGCACAAGGAGAAGGGGACGACAGAGGGCGAGATGGTGGGACAGTGTTTTTGAAGCTACGAACATGAGTTTGGCCTGCCTGGTGTTTTTACATTAGTAGAATGTGTGCTTTTATTTAACATCCATCTCTGGGTTATTTGTGGGGCATAGGAATTCGTTCATTATTATTTTTTCCAAATATAGTCTGGCCCCCCACAAGGTCTGGGGGACAGTGGACTGGCCCCCAGCTGAAAAGTTTCCTGACCCCTGCGTTAGATAGTAAAATTCATGTTAATTTTAAGGGCTGTTTTTAAAAGTCTGGAACGGATTAATTCATTTTGCATTACTTTCTATAGGAAAGCGCGCCTCGGTTTTGGAACGCTTTGGTTTTGGTCTTCCGGAACGCATTAAATTTGAGAACCAAGGTACCACTGTATTGTTATTTACTGCACTTATGAGTTGCTCCCTACCCACCCCTAAGAAAGGTGAACTCAGGTCTTGCATATGGTTGGCTACCGTAAGAAGAGGATGCCGGACGGGCCTGATCCAGGAAACTCTGATGATATTCTCAGGAAATTGATTTTGGTTGCATTGCCATGGCGTTCAGCTCAGGGAAAGGACAGCCGTCCCAGTACATATTAAATAAAACCAGCTGTGCCCTCGCCGTCCTTCGGTGCCCTGTTCTAATATCCCTTGACTGATAGTCAATACCTCTCCTGAGAAAAGCCGACAGCCGCTGACTTGCTAAATCCTCATTTCTTTCCTTGCAGTTGCTGCCCTCCTTCCCTTTCCTCACTGCATGCTCTTCCGGACAAGATATGGGGCAAATGCCATGACCACGGTGAAACAGCAAGCCCCACATTGCCCTAAAGCCTTGGGCCTATGCCCTGATCGGCTGGGGAAGTACACACACACACACACACACACACACACACACACACACACACGAAGGCTGTGCAACAGAGAAGTTGCAGCGGCATCTATTGGAAGTGCTGGGGGCAGAGGGAAAGGGTGAGTCCTCAAAATGGGAAGAAGCCCTGACTGCATCCCTGAGCCTCTAGGTCAGTGGATCTCAACCTGTGGGTCCCTGGATGTTGTTGGACTACAACTCCCATCATCCCTGGCCACTGGTCATGCTGGCTAGGAATGATGGGAGTTGTAGTCCCAAAACATCTGGGTGGCCCAGTTTGCCTGTGTCTGTTCTAGTCCAAAGGAACTCATTCCAGTTCACGTTCATCCCTTTACAAAACAAAGCAGTTTGTTTCCGGTTTGGTTTGCAGTTCAGTTCAAAGTTCCTCAGTCTGGTATCCGGATTGTTACAAGCTCATAGCTGTCAATTTACAGATTTGAAAATAAGGAACCAGCAGCCTCGAAAATAAGGGAGCAGCAGCAAAGGGGATGCAGCAAGGCAAACCACCGTCACCTCTCCGCTGGGAAGCGCTGA